ATTCCTGCTCAAATTTAAACCACACCATGACCCTAGGAGGCAGGTATGATGACGTCCATTTAACAGACAGAGTAACTGAGGTTCACGTTAAAGACGTGGTGGGGGGGGTCAGGGACAGAGCCAGGATTCAAGCCGCACTGGAGGCTGGGCTCTGGGTTGGGTCCCTGTGTGACCTGATGGCACAGGAGGATCTGTTCAAGCCCTCTGGCGTCTCCTTGTCCACCTGGGCCTTGACCAGAGGGCTTTGCTGAGAGATCCAGCTCCTCCCCTCTGTTCGGACTCACTTGCTGAAAATGGAGAAGTCGAAGTTCCAGCCCAGGCAGCGGATGACCCGGTCGTAGGCCACGCGCAAGGCGAAGTTGTCGTTATCGTCCTGGGGAAGGCGGACGGCGTCGGCACTCCGGTTGCCTTCCTCCAGGAAGAACTTCAGGGTGACGTGGAACTTGCCCTCGTGGTCCTTCACAATGGCCAGATCCGTCAGGTCAGACTCGAGCAGCCCGTCCAGGGACTTCAGTTGGTAGGTGTCCAACAGGCCATTGTTGATGGCCCTGGGGCCCAAGGGGAATGTCGGGAGAGAGAAAGAAGTCTGTGCCGGGTAAGGAAGCCTCAGGGGCCAGGGTGGTTAGTCGGGCGGGCGTCAGGGGCTGGCAGCACAGCACACACAGTACCTGCCCAGCATACCTGAGGTCGCCGACGTAGTGGGTGGCCCAGGAGAGCCGGACCCGGGAGCGGCTCAGCATGTGGATAAAGTTGGTGACACCCAAGATGTTCTCCGCCGTCTCAAAGGCCGAGTTCCCCCGGCCCAGGATCAGCACATTCTGACCCACGAAGTCCTTGGGATCCACGGACACGGACTCATAACCATCCACGTATTCGGAGCCAGGGAAGTCAACCTGGTTGGGGACTGACAAGCCAGTGGCCACGAGAAGGACGCTGCAGGTGGGGGACAGAGGGAGGATGGCTTAGCCTCTTAGCTATGAGACCACGAAGTGAAAAATCCCTCTTTGGACCCGCCGCCTGGCTCGCCCGCCTCACCCAGACTACTGGCTCCTAAAAGAAAGCAGGCTGTTCATTTATTCACCCACCTCCTGACCTGTCCCAGTGCATCTGAGACCTTACCCTGGCCTCTCACTGAGTGATCCAGTGGGTGCAGTTTCCTTTACACCTTCCTGGGATTATACCAAACGTGAGAATTAGTTTTACTTTCTGACTTTGGAGAGGGTGACGCCCTGAGAAGTGGACTAATTCACTTAATTCTGAACATGGCAGCCTCACCAAGTACCGCCCTAGTCATGAAAATGAAACCAGACGTTCTGCTTCCCCCTTTCTTACTTGCCTGGCAGATGCACAATCTGCTGAGTGGTGATTCTGCACGAGGCCCTGTACTAAGTGCTTTCTGCCTCATCTTACTGCTCAAAGCAGCTCTGCATTGGTGTTATTCGGCCTGCTCTACAGGTGAGGAGATGCAGGCTCCACGTGGGCCCACGACCTCCATAGCTCCTTAAGACAGCAGAGCCAGAATCTGACCACAGGTCAGCCTAATTCCAGAGTCCTGCTCCTTCCACTGCTGGGGATTACAATCCTGTGGTGGACAGGCTGGGAGCTGGACCCTGCTGGCCTGCAGAGGAATGGTTTGATCACAAGGTAGTTTCGAAAACAGGACTGGGTGGCCTGGAGAAGGGGCCTGGGCAGCCTCTGTGGCCCCTTGCTTTTTGGCCTGTCCATTCGCTCACATCTGAATCCCCTACACTGTAGCACTGCTGCCTAAGATGGGAGGGTCCAAATTGGCCCAACCCTTCTCTCCTTGGGCTGTGACAAGCAAGGAGCAAGGCTGAGCCTCTGGCAAAAGGCATGAGAAAATGAACCGTGATCGAGCACCTGCCTGGAGCCAGGTGCTAGGCTGACGGCCGGGAACGGAGAGGCAGTCGGGAACAGCGTTAAGAACACAGGCTTCAGAGTCAGGAAGATGTGAGCTCAAGTGGCAGCTGCACCCCTTATTAGCCGTGTGACATGGCACCAGTTACTTAACTTCTCTGAGCCTCATTTCTTCATCCGTAAAATGGGGATCAGTGAACCTCCCTCAAAGGATCCTTGTGAGGATAAGACAAGCACGGTATAACATATAACTCTGAATTTGGGTTCTCTACACTATGCTAAGCTTTCTCCCAAGTCAAAGCGAGCTAACACTGAATCCTGGCAGCACTGCCTGTTGGCCCCCCCTCTCATTCAGTTCAGAAATCCTACTGAGCCTAACACTTGCTGGACACTTGCCAGTATTTCTCAGAATGTATTTTGGGGAACACAAGTTCTAGGAGATGCTCTACAAAAAGGGTTTTGTGGGTGCATAAGCTCAGACAATGCTCAACACCCAATGTTGGAGTCCTTCAGTGAATGTGAAGATACTGAAGACTGAAAAATCCTGGAGCAAAGAAATGGTCAGAATTTTCAAGTATCTTTGAGTACATACATTTCTAGGAAAAACTTGGGAAATGATGGCTAAACTGAACCTCTTAGCACTGGATTTCAGTGGGAGCAAGGATGGGCAGAAATGCCTCTTTTCTCCCACACCTGTGGGCCAACCAATGGGTTTCCTTCTTCCAGGGAAGGCACTGGCTTCAGCAGGTGAGCTCTGGGGCCCGGTTCCTTACCTACACTGGTATGCCTGGCCCTTCTGGTCGGTCAGGATGAAATAATGGCCATTCCAGGCCCGTTGATCCTTGTTCAGCGTGACGTGGGCAATGGTTGTGTTGTACAGCACGTGGAGCCCGAGCCGGTCTGCGAAGTCGCCCAGGTAGCGCACCATGTCGCCGGCATCGGGGAAGTAAGCGTTGGAGTAGTGTCTGAAGAGCAGCCGGGGGTCGTGGCTGAGCAGAGAGTTCCAGTCATGGCGGAGGTTGAACTCGGCGTTGGCCTTGCCTGTGTACCGCTTGTTGATGCTGATGAGCTTGCGGTGCCGGGGGTAGCGCGTGAAGAAGCTGCCCGGTCCCGGGGCGCGTTCGAACACGGCGTAGTCCCTACCGGCCCGCTGCAGGAAGTAGGCCATCTGCAGCCCCGCGGGCCCGGCACCCAGGACACAGTAGTCCCGGTGCGCGGGCACCGAGGCCTGGGCGGGGCACGGGGAGAGAGCCGGGTGCAGGGCGATGGTCAGGAGAAGCCTTGGGAGGCCCCACAGCAGGGCTGCGGCGGAGAGGCCCATCCTACGGCAGACCAGAGAGGTGAGGCCTCGGACCACGAAGGCCCCTCGAGGCCCGCGGAGGTGAGCCAGGAACTGGGGGCCCAGAAAGGCAGGGGCTTGCCGGAGCGCTCACTGCGACTTGGGACGCAGCCAGGACCAGAACCCAAGGACCTCTGAACTCATTTGCCCCGACTCCATTGTTTCAAGCTCGGATCTGGGCTCCCCCCAGGAGTCCCGAGCCCCTCCATCTCCCTCAGGACCTTAGTTCCCAAGGGCGCCGGACTCCTTATTGCCATGGTAATAAGAGGCTGGGTGTTTTCTCCAATTTCCCCTAATTCCAGGGATGCCCAACACCCCCTAGGGCCTCCCAAGGCCAGACCCTCTAGGGTCACGTCTTTTTGGCTACGCCCCCGCGCTCCGGCCTCCAGCCTGAAGGAGGTGTGGTCTGCAGGCCCCCGTCCCACACCCGGGTCTCTTCCGTCACGTGACAGGGAAGCCCCAGCACACCTGCCCGCGGAGCAGAGCGAGGCCACCCTCCTTCGGGCGCGCTGAATCCGGGAGCCGCTCCCCACGCGTGCGCGGTGCCCACGCCCGCAGCTCCCGCCTCCCCGGCCCGCCAGTCCACCCCCCGCACAGAGCTCGACCCCCCCAGCCGCTCCGTAGACAGCCCGCAGCCAAGTCAGGCCGCGCTCGGCCTGCCCGCGCCACCGCGGCGGCCCCGCCCATGGCAGTGGGCGGGGTCACGTGGCTGCGCGCGTCATGCGGGGCTGGGCTGTCAGGTTCCGGACTCCGGGTCGCTCGCTAGAGCTGCGCACGTGCTGCTCCGCCGGCGGGCGCGTGCCGGCAGGTGGTGGCCCGACTGAAGATCAAATCTGGCAAGTGGCTTGGGGCTCTTTAAAGCTGTGTCTTTCCACGTGTAAGGGAGGCACGGGAGCAGACGACTTTTGGAGATAATCGCAGCTGTTCCACTCCATTACTGTAGCCAAAGACTAGTTGGGTACTCAGTACTTTGGGACCGGAAACCAGGTTGATGAAACCAGGACGGATAAACAAATTAACCTGTGTGTTCGCTACAATGATTCAGTCTGTTGTTTACTAAGAAATAGGACTGATTGGATCTTCCACCAGAAGAGGAAGGCCAGGGATTGTTTCCAATATAACTTAAATAGCTGACTGGCCAAATGGAATTTAGGGGTGATTTGCTTAAGATCACACAGTTAAGAAGTGGAGTGTGACATTAAAACCCCCCATTTATACTCCAAATTATGAGCTCTTCCAGAAAGCTCGAGGACTGTAACGAAGCGGTAGGGGAGGCCAGCATATATGTGATTTTGATGAAGGGGGATGTGCAATCAAGCACACATCTTGGTAGGTTGGTGCTGTTCACAAGGAATTAACAGCTTAGTTAATGGTTTTAGTTCTTCTCTAAGTATGGGAAAACGCAAAAAACTGGGTTCAGAAGACTTTCTCTTGAAAATATGTCTGAAGGCTGGTTCTGCCACTTTTAGAGCAAAAAGCACCTCCTCATCCTCAATTCCTTCAGGGTATATTGTAGGTCAGCAACTGCAGTGGCTAATGACTTGATTCTTGTAGAACTGGGCGGTAGGTTACATTCTTTGACAATTGCTTCCCTTTCAGTCTTAATTTCGACCAAGGATTGGGAGGCATTCTGTGACCAATTTGTCCATTCCCAGGCCAGGCAAAATTTTCTGATAGGCCACTCCATGTGCTGTTGCTGGACTAGGCCCTGTTAACAGTAGCCAAAAGCCTCTGGACCACCTGTCTTACTAGTCTGTTATGGTTCAGGAAGTGGTTCCCGCCTGTTGTTTCTTCCCATATCTAGAGTTAGCCTATTACAATCATTGATCTTATAGAATTGTATGTTTGTAATTGTTTCAAGTCGCCTAGTCACCATTATTTTTATTGGACGCTCTGTCACACAGTTGGTAGTACAAGAAACAATACTCTTATAAAATAGGCAGAATATGTGTAATATAGCTAGCAACATTAATACGGTCATAAGTATTTAAGCTAACAACTTTCATTAGGTGCAGGCCGTCATCTCCCCAGGTCACCTGACCAGTCTGTTCTGCCCGCATCACTGCCTTTAAGGGAAATGGCATATTGGCATTGTACATAAAGTTCACCAAAGATGTCTGCAAGTACAGGGTGAGTGGAGGGTCACTGTGACCCCTTACAGGATTGAGAAATGAATGTTTTCTTCCAAGGAGTTGCTGGCACCAGAAGAAAAATTGATCTTTATGGTTGAGCAGGCATTTCTGCCATAGGGGAGATCTGGTTAATGCATAATGTGGATGCACAATGCACACTACAGGGGAGGGAGGAGGATGAAAGACAGAGAAAAGGTTTTATGTTGAAATTTTTCTTGTCTTGCCTTAAAATGTGAATTTTTATTTCATCATTGGTAATGTAAACAAAGTGGCCTACGACAGTTCAGTGTAAAGACACAAACACAAATCCACTGCTCATGCCCAGCAACGGTGGGCAAAGTGGAGGCAACATGGAGGATGACAGGATGACCCTGAACTGCCATTCAAGTGAACTGGATGACCAGGGCTGGCTTTCCAGAGGTGGGATGTGGATCCTGCATGAGATTTACATGGGTAGAACACAGCGCAAGTACAGGAAGCCTCAAGGGGGTGTTCAAGTAGTCCTGTGAGATGGGGCTGAGGGTTCTGGTGGGAAGGCAGCCGTGCCTAGTGTGGAAAAACCCTGTGATCTTCCAGCTTTTAACGGCTGGAGCTTCTTTCATTAAAAATCATCACTGGGACTCTTCTCTAGAAAAGTCTTCCTTGAGCTCTCAGACCTAAGTACCCCCTAAGGAATGCCATTTACCTATTTTTTTCCTAGCCTGTATCAGCAGCAGAGAAAAGCTCCATGAGAGCAGAAACAGAGCTATATTATTCACTACAGTGACCTCACAGCTTCCATCAGCATCTGACATACAGGAGGCCCTTAATAATCTGTTGAATAAACAATGAAACCAGGGAGACCAAAACTGAAGTTGGGGAGGGCTGCTTAGTAGTTGTGAAGATTGCGAGAGTGGGTGTGGCCAATTAATCACTTAGAACAGCTGCTGGCTGTGTTCTGTACTGGGAAATCAGGACTGATAAAATACGGCAGGGCCTTCAGACTAGGCTGAGCCTGGATTGTAGGCCGCAGGATGCGATCGAAAGTTGAGAGTCAGGACTATTTACAGCAGTCAACTTGGTGGCCCCAAGCAAGACCAGATGGAAGTAGGGGATAGATGAAAGACATGAGGCATGTGGAGGCTGGTAAAAGACGTTTTTAGAGAATGAGACTGAAATTAACTTCCACCTGCCCACTTGTTCCAGCTAATCTTGCTGGGTTGCATCATGGGTCTGCAGGAGGCAGCTCGGGGAGTTACCAGCCCGCACTTGAAACCCCATGACACTTGTCACACTACCTTAAAATGAATTTTGTAACGCTCCACCTACAATGAAAGGTCCCCAAGAAGCACATCTTATGCTCTATTTTCCTAGTAACTCTGACAACACAGTCCAGTAAGTTTTTGCTTGCTTTCTGAGGCTCAATTATTTTGTTTAAAATTGTTAACTTTAGGACCGTTACCCAAAAGCTGAGCCAGTTTTCTCATCTGTATAATGGTATGACTTCCACCAGCATTACAGTTCTGTGTCAGGGTCCGATGAGATATTTATAGAACATGCAGTGTAACATGTGGCACGGCATATTACTTCAGTGTTCTGTACATTGGACAGAACACTGTCCGCTTATAAAAAGTTTACAAGTACTAAACATCTGTAGCTCTGCTCTGATTTGTTCATGACACAGTTCTTTGAGGGTGCCAGCTTGAGATCCCGTCACCAGCCCAAGGCAAGCTTGAAAACAATTTAGGAACCCTTACGATCACCACAGCCTCCCGCACCTGCAGCCATCCCACCTCAACTTTCAAAGACTGCCCTGCTTCATGTTTTCCCCAGTGATGTGTCTCTGAAGGCAGCAGCTGGTCTGGCACGCAGCCAGCAGGCACCCGCGCTTGTGGAAATGGACTTCCTACGGGGACCTCACAATGGACAACACTCCCCAGGAAAGGATAATTTCAAGGGGTTCCAAGAACAAAAAAATTCAGGGCATTGACCTCCTAACAGGAATGTAAAACTACTAAGGCTCAAGAACAAAGGATGGAACCCAGATTATGAACTCCAGACAGACTCTGCTGTATCTCACCCTCCCTCTCCCAAGGGCTACTCGGAGAAGCAGCGCTGTCGATCGTAACGTAGGCACGCGATGAAGGTAAGAGACTAGACAGACTTATACTTTACTCCAACTGTCCAGCTGCAGAGAGCAACAATCAGACAAACATTCCACCAGGTATCCAAGGCCCTCCTAGGCTCCGCAGAATCACAGAATCCAGCCCCACATCACTGTCTGGTTTAGGTTTCTTCCTCTGAAAGATAAAAAAGCCACGTCAAACTGGTGAATTGCTTATGATTTTCAACACCTCCGCTCAGAAGTGAAACCTTTCAGATCCTCACATTTTCTTCAGTCACCTACTGGTGAAGCAGGTGGGGGAAAGCTTAAAGCCCGTGTAACTCACCTGGAGCGTCTTTCCTCCCTCAGACCACTGGCTAACATCAGGAACTTCGGTGCCTTCCTCTAGATGCTTCCTCCTTGCCCTACTCTGAGACCTCTCTCCTCCCTGACCCCGTCTTGTGATCTAAAGGCTCTGGAGCAGCTTCTGGAGCCAGACTGACTGCTACTCCAAGTGACATCTCAGGGAATTCCCAGAGGTTTCCGTCGAGGTTAGGACCGCGCGTACAGAGCTTGGGCCCCAGCTGGCACACGCTCACGCCAGACCTCAGAGGGAGGCTTGGCTACAAACCTTCCTCCTCCTCCTCCTCCTCCTCCTCCTCCTCATCGTCCTCATCCGAGCTGAAGGTGCCGTCGGGCAGGCTATAGACGCGGATGACCTGCTTGTTGGGGTCCTTGAGGATGAGGTACTTGCCCTCCTCCAGCTTCATGCAGATGTCGATGACGCAGCGCAGGATGCCCCAGGCGTTCTCCACGCTCAGGTTGATCTGGCTGGCAAACTCATTGGGCTTGAACTGCTGGGTGCCCAGGATGACGTGGCGTGAGGAGTCTTTCACGTGGTACCGGGACACGTAACTGTTGAGGGGAAGAGGAGTACTAGGGGGGGGGGGGCAGACGGGCACAGACACACAGCGACGCCTGGGGTCGAGTATCAGTTAAATGGTGACACCTGGCCTGATGCTTGTCCCAAGAAAAAGGAGAAAAGGCCAGCCCTCGTCTCCCAACCTGCAGACCCCCCCTTCCAAAGATGAGCTCCCGGACAGGACTCTCACCCAAGCTTGAGGTACTCGGATCCGGCCAGCAAAGCACAGCAGGTCCAGCGGGCCAACTTGTAGCTGTTGTTCTTCAGCTCGGTGGCGATGACGGCCCCTCGCTGAGAATCCAGCTTCTGACGCCAGTCAACGCCATTACAGTGCTGCAGGAGGGGAGCCCCGGTTACAGGGGCCAAGGCGGGCTCCCACTGCCCACGGCCTGCTGCCACTTCTGGCAGAGAAGCAACTCCTCAGTGGGCCTGACTGGGGAGGAGCGAGCCCACAGGTAAAGCAGAGGTCAGACTTATCTTTTAAGAGGCAGGGCCTCGG